CCCCTCCCACAAACACCCACTCACACACACACACCTACAACACACGTTCACAAGTTGTCTATGGATCGCCTTCCCAAACATCCGGACAATTACCCCATGTGGTGATATTCCCCTTGTCATAACAAGCACCAAGTGACCCTCCATGTCCCACTGTGTTCCTGCTCCATGTTGCAGGGGTATGATCTTTACGAGTTTCTGGCCATCCCGCATTGCTGACTCCAACTGCCTCGCCAGCGGAATTTACCCACAGATTCTTCGGGATCATTATCCAGCTCCAGGTGAAAGCGAGTCAGCATTTCACTTCCTCGGGTTTACAAAGTAAAGCTCTATCTGCTCGATGAGTACCTAGTTTTGAGAAATTTTGACGTCTAAGATTTTGAGTTTCACATCATGTCAAGCCCTTTCGAACACAATTCTTTTAATATCTTGATGACTACTCCGAAAAAACCTTACGATTTTGATACAGAGGACAGAACGTTTAGTTTCTGACCTCAAGGTCTTAGTAATGTCAGATGGAACTTTGAAATTCTGAAGTAGCGAATTTGGTGTTTGGAAGAAGTAACAATAGCTTTATTTTGAAATAAGCGTCAGCGTTTTTACTTCTCCCGGAGAGAGGTGCTCGTTCGCCAAAATTCGCGAGCTGGGTGTGAATAAGAAACATGTGTCGTTTTGTTCGCATCTACCGGGATCTGCAGTTAAAAGATAGATATTTAAAAAAAAAGATATAGGCGTTTTTATATCCCTATCGACACAGTTTAGATCATTTGGAAGGCAGGCTTCGACGTTGACTGTCAGGGCTAACCTGGGCTGAGAAGGATACAATGTCCCAGCAGAATGGCCGAGATACTCGATAATATATAATATATTATTCTTCCCACACGGGAATCGAACTCAGGCCTTTTGCGTACGATAGCGAAGACCCTAATCACTGCACCACTGACACTGGTATTAGGAAGGTAGAAAGATGAAATTAATAGGGTCAATGGGAATACTCAATCTATCAGGAAAATCTGAAAGAAAACGAGACAGGAAAAGATAACGTGCACCTTTCATTCAAAGCCGTACAAGTTGAACAAACAGACAATAGAAATAATGGGCTTGATAGCACTGAGTTCTTGAAAACTTTTCTTTACTCCTGAACTCTTTGAGGACACGCAATCTGGTCATTGGACACCGCCTGAAGTCACAGCGTCAAAACCTGCCTTCCAAATGATTTGTGGGACTTTGTTAAAAAAAGAAACGCAACTTCGTCATTTATAAAAAAATTTCAGTTCTGTTTTCTTTTATGGAATTTTTTAAAAGGCAGGCCACGGTATTCATCTGTAAAATATGCAAATTTTAATTCATAGTTTTTGATTAATTAAAATACGACTGTTTGAAATAATCACGGCATTGTCTAGGATCATTTTTGACGACGGGACATAATGTGTTCTCAACGTCCTTTTGAATTTGAGAATTATCGGAAAGGAATACATGTAGAGAATTGTGGGTATAGTTATTGTATCGTATCTAGCAGCCCTGCCATCATCAAATAAGTAGATAATGATCGGGGTTGTTTTTTTTCTAATAATGTATGGATGGTCAAGTTGATATACAGGAATACAGTTGAAGGAAAGAATATTTTAAGAGTACAATTTCATTTTGTTGAGGATTATTGAGTTGTCGTACAGGAATACAGTTGGAGGAAAGAATAATTTAAGAACACAATTTCATTTCGTTGAGAATTATTGAGTTGTCGTAAAGCTTCAACTGCCGTTTATGTTGCTTTTGTTTTAGTTTTCTTTTGTTTCCTATTCGTTTTGGTTTTGTTTTCACTTTTGTTTTGGGTACGGTTTTGGGTTTAGTTTTGGCCTTGGGTTTTTTAAATTGTGCGTGTGTGTGTGTGTGTGTGTGTGTGTGTGTGTGTGTGGGGGGGGGGCTACCTGTGAGCTAGCACCTCCAAGCTGATTGAACGTTTGATTTCTGGTCATGTTGTGGTTGAAAGGTTTCGCCCACGTCCCGTTGAAGAATATTGTGTTGACAAGAAGCATTACTGTACTTCTAGTAATGGAACCTGGAATAGAAGGCTTGTTATTGAGCTCCAACATTGATACATTATGTGAGACATCGTGGTGAAATCGGGCACTCGTCAAAATAAGAAAATCAAAGAAATCGGCATACTTTTTGGTCGATAGGCAATTTTTTTCTAGATTTCTTTTTTTTTGTTTTTTTTTTTTTGGCTTAACACCTTTTGTATCCATTTAAAAACACATTTTTGCGTGGATCTTATTGAAAAAAACCTTTTAATTAAAGGCACAAAAAATGTAGATTTTCAGTTTCCAAGGACTCTCAGGCTATTGAAGTTACCAAACTTTGGCAGCCATTTTCTCACTAATTTTACCTTTGAAACCAGGCGACTTGGACTTCCTTCAATCGCAAATATCTTGACTTCTATATAAGATAGATGGGTATTTCTTTCATCAAAAGGAAGGCAAATGAACAGGCTTTAAGATGATACCAATAACCCCATGTGCCCAAAATTGACGAGCGCCTGATACCACCCCGTCGTGCAACATATTATCCTGGTTTGATATCATTATAATATTGTTATCAGTTTTGATTCACAGCTTTGTTTTGAAAAAAAAGCACTCCCGCCCTTCATGTCAAAATTTGGTGTGGGTGGTTGGCGAGTGCTCTGGTGTGATTTTCTCTTGTTTTTCCCTTTCAAATAACTGTCGTCCTTATTTCTCCACCTTTACGCGCGCGCGTGTGTGTTTGTGTGTGCATGTGTTTGTGTGTGTGTGTGTATGTGTATGTGTATGTGTGTGTGAGTGTGTGTGTCTGTGTGTGTGCGTGACTGTGTGTGTGTTACTCTCTTGTAACACCTCTAATCTTCCTCACTTATATGACATAATTGTGTTACAAGAGCCGTAAAAGGCTTACCAAAGCAAACAACGATATGAAATAAAACAGACAAAAGTTAAATTAACAAAAACATCAAGGCGTACCAATGTTCGATGTCATACCAATTTGTAAGAACTGGATGTTTGGCAACTTTTTCTTAGTGTTTAGTACCAGTTCGTTTATTTTAGATTAAGAGTTTTGTTACAAAGATTCTCAGGGTGGACTTACTAGATCTATTAAGAATGTCCTACAGATATAATTTATAATAATA